CGTATGCTTCTTTTTTGGTATTGCTATAACCGTTCAGCGGAAATGAAACAAGGTTCTGTGTTCCCTACAATATGCACAAAACAGAAAAACCGTACCTTGCCCTGAAAGACCTCCCTTGTTACTCCTGCGTCACCTACCACCGGACTTGTTTTGAATGCCCCCTCCTACGAACATGAGCGTCTACTGATAATACTGAATAAAAGACAGAACCTCGGTTGGAAACTGCTATCAACCGGTGCTGGGCCCCTTGGCCAGACGATCGGAGCTATCGCAGTGGTGGTGGTCGTCGTTGAAGAGGATGTAGGTTTCTGTAAAGAAAAGCTATTGAGAATGAGCCGACAGCGTCGCAGTCAATATTTTCCGTATGCAGACCCTCAATGAAGATTTCACAAGAATAAGGATTATAACTTGTAACGCACTTGCCCGGAAAGCGAGAGGTGCGGGTTCTAGTCCCGCCTGGGGCGAAAGTTTTGTTCACAACCCAGCATTCTTGTGAAACATTCGCAAGGCGAACTGCGGCCAAAAACAGCAGTTAACAAACAAAAATCTCCACGAAGAAATTTGTGAGAGGCGCTTGGCAAATTTCTGCCCTCCCCCTCCACTTCCTCCTAATAGTTCACTATTTCCGTTTTGTACTTTTTTTATATTTTTCATATTTATGTTTTTTTTTCTAAATTTCTTACCGCTTTTGACCCATCTACGGCATCAATTTCGAAGCACTGTATTTACGAGGACTTACCCTTTTCTCTTTCGTACGCAAGCGCCTTCAGATGCTCTCGTTGTCGAATGTACTGTTCCTGAATCCGTCGACGACGCTCCTCCTCCATTTGGCGCCGCAGCTCATAAGGATCCGGTTGCGGTGGTAGCGGAGGTATCGGAGGTGGTGGTGGAGGTTGTTCTGGCCGTATCGCAGGATAATCTGGCCTTCGTGCAGGCTGTACTGGTGGATATTCTGGCCTCTGTTGTCCCAGTTGTCTCACGGGATACTGTGGTCGCGGTTGTTCTGGTTGTTCTGCTGGATATTCACGTCTCCACGGCGGGTACGTGGACGTCGCAATTGTGGGCCTACAACAGCTCTTTTGATACCAGAAGGCGAATTCTCTCACAAGGGGGGGGGTCTTTCCAGAACATGCGCGTTTTTTTGCAAAAATGGTGTTTACACAAGGTATTGTAGAAAGCTCATGTGGGAGATACCGAAACGCCATAATCCATAGTTCCTTGAAGCAGCTCCAAGGACTGTCACCAACAGGCCCGGGAAGAGTGGTCGAAGTTCGATTACGCTCCGTGATGACAAATTTTTGCAATTTATGACGGCGCCTCCAAATTGCCGCAAAACACGACAATGACATCTATTCTTGACGATGGCGCCATTTGGCGGCAATCTGGGGCGCCAAACTATATTGCAAAAATTAGTCATCACCGGGGATCGAACTCTGGACCATTTCTTCGCCACTGTTTTGACATTCCTGGAGGCGTTCAGGAAAAATGGATCATGGTTCCGGTTTCTTTGAGCACTGAGCCCCATACAACATGCAGAAGACCATTTCAAAGAGTCCATCATAAGGCTTCTTTTGTGGCCAACGTAGCAGTTAAAGGTTAGAACGGAGCCTGGCCGTTGTCGTCGTTGTCGTGGTGGTGGTCGTTTTGTGATGTGGAAGCGGTGGATACAAATCGTCGTCTTCGGATGATCCGTCACTGTCATATTTGTTGAGATAGTCCCTGCAATAAGAATGAGCTGCGAAAAGGTCGACCAAAGATCTCTGAAAACATTGAAAATTGTGTTCCACTAGGACGACAGATGCGATAATTCCATCAGGAACACAACGAGGCTGAACGGAGGCGATCTTCGGTCGCAAAGAAAGAACACGGACGCCGTTTTAGTCAGAAAATTGTCTAGATGCTTCAGCGTTACAGAAATTTAAACGGTTCCATTTTTGGGTTATCAAGTGGTGCTTGTAATTGGAAATATGAAAAATCTGTGACGTGGCAGTGCTCTCGGTTTTCGGATCTCTGCTATTTCTTATTGAAGCTCCAGATTTTTCAAGGCTTGAAGCATTCTTGAATTGTCCGACTGATCAGGTTGAAAAAGTATAAATTTCACTGGGGCTACCCCTGAGATTTCCTGACCCGGTAGTTCGGTACTTTACGGCTACTTTACCCCCAGCTACAGCGCGTAATGGGATAAGATTGAAAAAATGGCAAGCGCTGTCCACATTAAAATTGTATCCGTATATTCGAGTCAAGAAGCCTCTTCTTTACTCTGCTAACACACCCAGTACACAAAACCGCATTTAGATAGTTGCGGAAGATGCCGATTTTAGATACCATAGATTAATGCCACATGAATATTAAGCCAGAACAAATGTTTCGTAGGCAACAAGGCAACTCTAGTGGCTGTGTCGAATTCCGCGGCGGCATCCCAAAAACTGATAACTTGGGCTCTGCCTTTCCTTTTTTTGCAACAAATCAAAACCACCACGTCCCTGTAGGCATACATTTTGAAGTGGATGCATTAAAATGCCAAGGTGTGGAAAAATCATAGCTTCTAAAATGCCTTTTTGAATTAAGAGTAGAGTAGAATATGGGGTAAACTGAGCAGGAAAACTCTGACTCCTAACGCAATACGGGACGATGGCCATTACGCGTACTCTCTCGTAAAAATTCTTGTTTCTGAATCAGAAATATTCTTTGATAAATTAGGCCGGGCATTTGCCATTTTGAGTGGAACTAACGAGTTACAGAGGGGGAGTGGTGTAGTGGCAAGTGGCGCGCTCACCACGCGAGCGGTCCGGGATCAAATCCTGGGTCGTGAGTCGCCCGGGCCAACCAAGCCTTCCATCCCTCCGGGGTCGGTTAATTGGTACCAGACTTGTCTGGGAGGATAAAAACACTGACTTGAACATCGGCTGGCCCCGCAAGTCATTGTATAGGCCACATCGCATTCAAATGCCACTGCGAATGTACAAATGGAAGTAGAATGCGTGCCGCATCCCAAAACGGGATTGATCAACGGCAAATGCTTTATCCTTTTATCCTTTTACAGAGGAGAAAAGAGAGGTAAGATAGAGCTCGGAATGCAATGATTTCACATATTCTTACTCCACCCCATGGCTCTTGCACATCATTTTGGAAGAAGTAGAGAAAACACCCTCTGCGCTAATTTCAATGGACTTTGTCGTGTTCTATTTAACCCATAGACATATGAGAGACAGCTTTATGACAAGGAGACAATGACGACCACACAGCGGCCGCAACGGCTGCCTTCGTGGTGGCAAAGGGCCCCGTACAAGACGAACGAGATTTTGTTGTGAATAGAGCATTAGTGCTATTCATCTTGTAAGTCTTAACTATTTTTGATGTAAGCCGAATACATGGCGTATCACATACCAAAACTTCTTCCTTTTCATAGCATCTTCTCTTCTCCCCTGAAGCTACTTGATGACTCCTCCAACCAGAACCAGGAAAATTTTTCAACTGTACAACTTGTAGTAGATGTAAATGCAGTCATAGTAGGAGATAGCGCGTAAATTGCTCTTTTTAATGCTGCACAGCGTTTAAACGTTTGAGATTCAATTTGCTGGCAAAGAATGTGCAAATGGACTGCGGAACAAAACTTGCATTAATTCCCGAGCAACCTAATGGATTCACGTCCTTCCTTGTTGAAACCTTGGCATTATTTGTCGGGTGTTTTGTATTCTTTTAGCAGACCAAACTGTGAATCTCCTTGTCTTCTTCAAACACTCGAAAAAGACTCCAGTTTTTTGATTTGTGGGCTAATCCAGCTCCTCCCCTTAGAAACACCCTCCAAACACACTCTAAAAGTTGTAAGTTTAATAAATTTCTTGTGCCTCACGAGGTTGTTCGGTGGAACTTTATTAATGGCCTAACGTTTCGACTGAATCGTCGTCTTCAGAGGCCGTCGGTTCCACCCTTTGAGCAAAAGTCCGCTGCCACACAGAGCGCTAGTCAGTTAAAACGCTATTATTCTACTCCTACTACTCCTTACTACCATCAACGATCTATATTTAAAACTTAAAATGAAATGCCAAGGGTTACAAGAATAAGAGTTTGGCAGAACTAAAGTGACATTTTGTCTAGAAAGGCAAACCAGGGATAGAAATGAAGAATAGGACAGGCACAGTAAATCCAGTATCTCCCAGGACAAGGGATTGACACATCGACCGCCGTCCTGTGGCTGAGTCAGAATTGCTTATAGTTTGTCAACTCTTAAGCGATGTCAGACTTTGCGAATCGCGCGACACTAGCGTCCGCGGTCGCGTTGCGGTACCAGCCAATTGAGTGATTCACTGGCCGCGACGCGACCGCAGACGCTAGCGAATCGCGCGAATCGCTAGTAGCGAATCGCAGGATTCGGGCAAAAGCTCGGACTCGGCCCTTACGAATGTAACGCACAACTCAGACGTGTTCCTCTAGTTGGTCCCTACGAGCTTCGACAAGGCCGACACCGACAGCGTCGAATTCGACAAAGCATGTTCAGCTATCCTTGACGTCCCTCTATCAGCATTCATGCTTTCTGATCCGCGCATCTATTGCAAGACATCAAAATCGAGCCTCGCAAACTTCTTCAACTGTAGTTGTTGTCGACAGGGCAAAAAGCTTATGTACACCCAAAACAATTCAATGAAGAGGAGTTGACTGGATCCCTAGAATAAGAACTTCACACGAGGAACATGTAGTTTTTATCAAAGGGATGGAAACACAGCTCTGCAGATCCGGTTCGACAGCTCTTTACCACCGCTGTGAACTGCATTGTTAGCTTACGACTGAAAGAAGTGATTTGTGGTTTTGTGCAGCATTTCGCTCTCAGCCAGAATCACAATGGCTTTGAAAAACTTCGGACAGAATCACAAAAGCTTTTGGAAAGCTAGAGCGTAAGGTAGACTGTATGCCTTGAGACTCGGATGCTTTGACCTTCAGTGCGGAGAGACGGCTGCATTCAGTGGATCGCTGGGTCCTGACCAGCGGATAGTTAAGTCTAAGTGGTAGTTCGCTCCACTTCTCCACTACCAGCTTATACCTACGCATAATACTACTCCACAACCCCGACCAACGTCACCAAAAGCTTCCACATACTTTCTGGGCGATTTTTTTTACAATTTTTGCGATCAAACGTGAATGATCACACATCATTTTTGTATGCTGAAGGCGAGAAAAACAAGCACAAATAAGGGTTCTTAAAGTTGGAATACGTGAAGGAAAATGAGGTGTACTATCCGATTCTAACCAGATGCGCGTCGAATGCAGACCACGCACCAAAAGTGACGACGGCCTCGAAGTAAATCTGGTTGCTGATGGCTAACAGTGATAGCTAGCAAATAATAGCTGTAGCTAAAGACAACCGACAGTATACAACTGCAACCAGGATCATTTTGTTGGCGGAAAACATTAACCTTTTGTGGAGGCGTCGTCACTATGCATGCTGGTGGTCTCTTTTTGCCACTGACGGGTATCTGCTTTTCTGGAAGCAGAAGGGTAATGCATGTCAGCGACAAAGACGATACTGCACACAAGTGAAAGTCAATCGAGGCTTCATGTCCGTTCTGCTTTTCAACCCCTTTTTCTGCGATTTCGTTTTTCCACCAGTGTTCATTAAACTCTCCCCGTTGTCTTCCCTACAGTAATCCTTTGTGGACAGAAGTAGCTGGCGTGGTGACTGAGTAAACGAAACGTTAGAGTGCTATGTTTTTTTATCAGATGCAATGGAGCCCGCAAACCTTCAAGTGCACCGCGCAGGCAGTTTTTCCCTGCAAAACCTTTCATAGTGCTACAATATCAATGAGGGACCCCGCGTTACCTACTGTATTGGCTATAGATAACCTATTTCTTAACTAGGTTTTGAGCCCTGAATTTAAGTTCAAAAGAAAACGTAGCAGATATTTCTCAAAACTAAAGTGGCCTATGCATAGAGCGTCAGCAAGATAGCACGAATAAGCATTAAGGCGGATCGTATCGAAGGACAACTGTGGGTATGGTTTGTTTTCCAGAGAAGTTAATTGGAAATCGGTCATTGTTGAAAGCGTCTTTCGCGCCCCCCCCCTTCTCTGATGATTCTTGCGGCAGGGCGTGACTAATCCTCACCCTGTGTATGCGTGCGAACCCTGATAAAGCCTGTCAACTTGGCTAATATGTAACGCGCGGCTCTTCGAAGGAGTGAAACTTTCAGCGTTTTAGGGATGGCGCCCAGTGATCGGGCTTCATTTCAAAGATGTTGAATGCCGGTGTACCGCATATCAAGTTGGCAGAGGGTGCGAGCGATACGCGCCTATTTCGGAGAGGCGCAGAAAAGCGTCGAGGGTGGAGACTCACAACGCAAGGGGGCGACGCGCAAGTGGAAGAGAAGAAAAAATCGGCCATTTTCTTTCACCGCGTCATTGAGGTGGTCTGGCACTCGCGCTATCCCCTCTTCCGAAAGAGGAGGGAGAGGGTACAGCGTGCGGGTGTCTGCCAGAGACCGTTCACAAAAGACCAGTTTTGACACGTATTGAGTGGATGCGCTGTGAGCGGGAATACAATGCTCGGTCGGCGAGATTGCATCCAAAATTTGCCCCCTGCCATGTTAAGTGGCCACCATCTGCAGTACATCCTGTGTCGCAGCTTTCGCTGAGTGGAAGATTATTCATAAACAAGTGAATGAAGTAAACTCGAAGTTCAACGCAGCTCGTGCTCATTCGGCCGTAAGCTGTTCCAAGAAAAGCAAAACAATGGTCAGAAAGCGTTACAATTACGCCTTAGGCCGAGTCGAGAGTTACATCCGCGGCGGCTTTGCATGGGGTTGTTCAGAATGAGCTGTCCCTCGATTAGTGGGGCGATTTAGCAACTCCGGTCGTGGCAGGGCGCGCGGATCCCTAAACGTTTAGCTTGCACAGGTGAGCATAATGGACGTACGGGAGTGAAGCTAGAGCAAACATTAGCCGCTCTCTCACACAAAGTGCAAATGCAATTGCGCATCCGTTCTCATCACATTGTTCACTGACCCAATAGACTGATGCTCTGAATAAGCTTGATCGTATCATCAAAGAACTTAGGCGACAGATCAGTTCCGTGGAGGAAAAAAGTTGAACGCTCTCCCAATCGCCTCTCACAGGTAGTGTTGCGAAAACTTCGGGGTAGCGATAACGATTGAGTTTCCGTAAGGCCGAAAGTATCGCTCAGAAAATGAAAGAGGAAAAAGAGGAAAGAAAAGGCCACGCTGTGCATATCAACAAAAGTTTTTCAGTTTCCTGACCATTTTCATTCTCGTATTCATTAGACGACAAATCCTCAAATGACAGCGCGATACCCCACTCTCACCCATTGTTATGTGGACC